TGTAATAAAAGAAGTCGATCAAACAAAAAGAACACTGAAAAGGATAGAATTTTTTTTTAAATTAAAAATGGGGAAAACATCAGTTGAAAAGGGAAAGTGATCTGAACATATTTTGCGATATCGAATTCCAATAATTGATAGGAGATCATAGTGACGTCTTTTTCTAATATGTCAAGTATATATTATAAAATTATCATGACTACCATCGGGTACCTCCGCTAGTATCAAATAAGGTCAAGTTGCAATAACTACTCTCCGTTTCAAAGCATAGTGCGCGCCACTGTTTTTTAAATAACTCAAGAACGCAACGAGCTAGAGACCTACGATTTTCACCAATCGATAGATGAGACAGGGGACATCTTTTTCTCAGATAATGTGTCAGGCGAAATCCTTTTAAAACTACTCATGTTTGAAAAACATGGAGAAGAATGCATGAAAATGATCTGCCATCCAGATGAAATTTTGATTTTGACCTTTGATTTAGATAGAGGAACTTGAGATCCATAGTTTAAGATACAATGCACTTTCTTGCTTTTCCTTACGTTTGCGTCGAAATGTCCAGCTCTTATGATAAAAATGCAAAAACATAGTAAAAAATCAGTAAAATTCCCTATTAATTGCCCATGTAAATACATGGTTCCATTTGGTCAACGTTAGAATGCAACAAGAAAAGTATTTGCATTGTATCTTAAACTATGGATCTCAAGTTCCTCTATCTAAATCAAAGGTCAAAATCAAAATTTCATCTGGATGGCAGGTCATTTTCATGCATTCTTCTCCATGTTTTTCAAACATGAGTAGTTTTAAAAGGATTTCGCCTGACACATTATCTGAGAAAAAGATGTCCCCCTGTCTCATCTATCGATTGGTGAAAAGCGTAGGTCTCTAACTCGTTGCGTTCTTGAGTTATTTAAAAAACAGTGGCGCGCACTATATTTTGAAATGTACAGTAGATTTGAATTAATTTAGATACATTAAGTGATTTTATGGAACTATTTAAACATTTTCCTTGATTTGATCGATTTACATGATGTGATAAACGTCGAACAGTAGCTACTGGCAAAATTCTTAAAATTATTGATTAGAGTTTTATTTATCCTTCCTTTGCTTTAATTAACAGCAAATACTAGGACTTATTTTTATGGAAATTATTTGAATGTTTTAATAAATCTTATATTGAGTCTTCCAACGTACTTGTAAACTCTAGTGTGAGTACATTAAAATACTAATTTTCTCTTGTTTCGTTTCTATTATTCATAGTTTCATACCTACAGTGTAAGTACGTTAAAATATTGATGTAATTAAAGTTAGCTGAATTTTAATCATGTATCATCTCCTATAAAGAACAATTGCATTGATCTCTATCTGTCAAAATGCATTGATTTTGGACAAACATATAAGCGTCATTTAATTCATAGTATTTCAAGAAACCATAAATCTTCACTAAGAAATCTAATAGTGCATCTATTATGAAAATTTTCTCGTAATACCATACATTTGTCAATCTTGATTAGACCTTTTTCAGTGGAACGAGATTTAATACAGTAAAAAAAGTTTATATATATTTATTTTGTATTTACAGGAAAGGAAAAAAATAAAAGCATAAAAAATATTAAAAAACAAAACAAATGGCCTCATTTTATGTTGATCTAAGAAGGTTACATAAAATTGAAAGAGACGATCTATAACAAAATAAATAATTATTTTACGCTCTTTTCATTGATATCCTATTCTATTCCTATCATATGCACAAAAAGTACAATTTCTGTTCATTATACCAAAAATTAGTGAATAAAATTCAAGACATTTTTGGTCCGTTAAATATTTTCTTCTTTTTCTTTTCTTTGAAGGTGTCTCTCTCGATCACCTATGAATGAGGACAGAGACCAACGATGATAATAATATCCGAGATAAACGAAGAAAAAAATAACTGTTCAGCTGTTACTATAGACTGTAGATAGAGAAAACTATTCTCTATTGAACTGCGTTCTTGGTTTCTTTTTTAAAAAAGTTATAAGTAATGACACAAAACATCATAAAAGATGAGATTGTAGAGACCTTTTTACGGTGTATTTAATTTTTGCTGAGTTAAGTCTCAAAACTTGCACATGGATACGACAACCGAATACATACTTCGTATCTTTATTCTGCTTAGTATGGAAAATTCTCGATATTAACTTCGAAAAAAGTGTCAAGACATATGGCGTCCTCCAATGAACATATTTGCCATTCATTCGACGAGTCATCGAACTCAAAGAACATACTATATGAATTCATTGGATTATCTACCAACGTTATATTTTTTTCGGCGGAGTCATCCATTCTTTTAGTGAGTCGACAGAGCGAAAAAAACATAACGTTTTAAGCGAATCGATATCAAACGCACTACGCGTGACGACCTCTTAGAAAATTAAATGGGCCGAGACTTTCTTTAATACTAGGAGATAGAAAAAAAAATTCTCTATCGAGATGTGTTTTTACTTCTTTCTAGAAAGTGATTATAATCGAGAAATATTTGATACAATCTGGCCAATCTTAAGAAATATAAAATAATACCATTATACTCTATTCTTATTGGGCGTCGAGTTTCATTACTCACCATTAGTCTACTTAATTAATGATTTTCTCGAAGAGAAAAAAAAAGGCCGGAAAATCTGACTTCATGAGATGATTTGTCCTGTGCCAAGCTACAATTTCATATTAAGTAGTCTCTCTGAAAAGTGATCGGGGTATTTCAGAAATTAGCGACACTAAGTACATAAGTATGTTTGCCATTTGATATTGATTTGATGATTTTTTTGTCGATTTGTCGGTAGACTATTTATATTCAATGATGGAAATGAGTACAAACAAAACAATGAAGATATATATGTGACCATTTAAAGAAGAGCGTCATTCAAAATTAATATGCATCAGTCAACCATTATCTTTCTTGATTTACCTACTGAAATATTACTTATTATTGTAAATAAACTGAACAATATGGATGTTCTCTATTCATTATTGGATGTTGACAATCAACGACTTGATAGTATAATACTAGACAAAGCTTTCACTAAGACTCTCAATTTTGTATTAACAACGCCAACTAATGATGTTATGTCGATTGCTGATTCAATGCTGAATCGGTACTGCATTAATATCTTGCCTAAAATTGATCACAATGTTAGATCTCTCATTCTTGCATAAGAATCTATGGAACGTATTCTTCTTGTTGCTGATTATCCTAATTTAACTGAACTTAAACTGTTCAATGTTAACGATTATATTGTTTCACATTATTTTACAGGTAAGAAATTTCAGTGCTCATGTAAAAAAGATTTTAATGGAAACATTGTATATATATAGCACAATATTTAATTGTTCTTTATTTAGTCGAATCACCATTTCGACGTATTTTTCAACAACAAATTACAGATCTCATTCTTGTATATAACAACGATAGTAACATATTATTAATGAATAAAAATGCAAAATATGTGTACGAATATACTTTGAAATTCTTTGAAAATCTTAAACACTTATCCGTTATTGGATTCGCTCCAATTTTCTTAATTCGTAATGTGTCTTTGGCTACTTGTTTCTCTTCAAATCTTTACAAATTATGTCTTCATGTGAATTGTTTTGAAGATTGTTTTGCTTTACTTGATGGACGTTTCAAACATTTGACTATGCTGAGTGTTAATATTAATGATACAGAGCATTATTCATCAGGTGTTAACAATACCGTAAGTTTATATATAATTAGATTGATTTTTTCGAGTGAAAATATTTCGAGCTATGTTATTGTATTTTTTAGAATGATCTCCCTAATATGAAATATTTCTCGTTACAGTGTCGATGTTTAAGACAGCTAATTCGATCTATATGAGTTAAAAATGTTAAGAGACAACAGGCACCAATAGTTATCATTTTACGACGAAGTATCTCCACTTCATTAAAAGTTGATGAAGATAAGGTTGAAATGCTCTCCGAAATAAGATCAATCCATTGTTCACCAGTTGTACGACATTTTAATGCTAAATCAGCAACTTGATCTTGTCTCGTAAAATGACAGATGGTTAATATTCTCATTGTAATCATCGTTAAAACCACTAACACCAATTCATTCTTCCAATTGAATTTGCAATCATCTAAATGACGATCTAATCTTAAGATTAATTCATCTACAAAATGATCTTCTAATAACTGCTCATGTGATTCTGAACACCAATAATTAGAAACTGTATTTGAATTTGATGTGCATGGACCGTATTGTAATATTGAATGTATAATTAATATTGCCACACTCTCGTCAGCAATAGATAAAGAATTCATTTCTAGGATTGTCAAAAGATTCCACCATTGTAAATGATGTCCTGATCGAAATGAACCAAATTCAACAAATTGCGTAGGTTTCAATCCTAGAGGACAATTAGGCAATTTTGCAATAAAATGATTTTGTACGAACTTCGTATTATTAAGAGTAAATTGTAGCTGGATGTAATCTAGATGTTCAAGTTGAAGTGTTAATATATGACATTCATCTTCCAATTTTATTGGTTTAGTTGGTGAAATTCGAACTTTCAGACTATTCTCATGCAAAACGGATTCAATAGTTGCAGATGCAATTGATATATAAGCATAGTGACTTAGCGTTATGGGTTTAGTTTGAGAGACTAATTTGACTTTGCAATCGCTTGGACCAGTATAGAATGGTTCTAGCTTTTTGGCATGAGGAGAAACGTTAAGCCATTCATACATCTCAATTTTTGGATTTGGATTAGGACGATTGATAAACTGCCAAAGAATATCTCGATAACATCTGATTTCAATAGGCATTTGTAATTCAAAAATAACAGCTAATGCGCTTGCTTCATCTGATGGCAATGGACATTCATAAATTCTCATTTTTATGCAATTAACTTGTTGTTGAAATCCACACCGACAAGATTTTTTATAATATCGATTAGCATTACATTCGCAAGAAGAATCCTTTATCGTTTCCATTAATTTCATATATTTTGTCTTCTTTTCTTCCATTTTTTTATCGTCTTTTCTTTGTCTTTTTCAATCTGAACTCTAATTTTCTCTATACTATTTTTCATTGACGCTGATTGTCCAGCATAACGTACACCAAATACATTTGCAGACTTAATGTTTGTTAACAGATCTGGGTATGGTTTAGAACTAAATCGATTAAAATAATCGTAGAGATTACGAGCGCTTATCATATCGTCACGATCTGGCAAGGCCAAAATTTCAAAGAGCTTCATGAGATTTGGAATATCAATCGAATGTAATTCTAGTTGTTCAAAACTTGGATTATTACATAAATTTTCATGCATAATACGAATAATTGCTAATGAAGTTAGAATAAAGCGGCTATAACCCATAGGATCTGTGGGACCATTTTCTGACCAATAATAATTTAAAGCTTCTTTCTGATATTCTTCATACAATCGCAGCAAAATTTCGAAACGATTTTCTTCACTTTCGGATGCTGACGGTCGATTGATCCATTGTTTTAAGTAAAGTTTGACCCAGATTTCCACACGAGTCAAAGCTATTCCAATAGTATAACTAAACTTTGTTGTGAATTCTTTAATGCAAGGTATATAATCTACATCATTAACATTAGCACAGTCATCACGATTATTTACAGTGGTAGAACGGTGAGATGTTTCGTTTGAGTTCTGACTATTCAGATAAGCCTTTAATTCTAGACATAAATGTTGATAGATCTCAGAATGCTCTAATTCCAAGTTATTCAATACTAATTTGTTATTCATTTGTTCACGTCCTTGAATAGATTTTTGCCAATCTATCTTTGGAAAAATTTCGTTAATTTTCATTTCTATATCTTTCTTCATGTAATTGATACATTTCATCCCATCATTAGAATCAATAGATAATAGTAAATCTTCGATTTTATTTAATCTTCGTACAATTTTCGAATGCAATGAACTAATAAACCAATGGATATTTTAACATGTGTAAGGAAACTAGTAATCAATAATTTATAAACAATAGTACCCATATGTTTCAGACGCTTGGTTAGAATGGTCTGAAAAACTACTTTAATTGTCATCCATAAACCAGATCGTCGAAAAGATAATGATGCATAATTCCATCTAACATGATCACGATGTTTTTTCTTGAATTGAATGAATGTATTTGAGTTGTTTTCGATTTTTAGCCGTTTAAAGTGCTGAATCCACCATTGACATTCATAATGTGATTCTGGTAATTCACGTGTTTCATCAACTTCGCGAGAGGATTTATAAGATTTAGAATATTCAATAGTGTTGACCATAAAATCTACCAACAATTCACAATGAACTTTGGACATCAGCTGAGATCGATTATTCAATCTGTATGTTCTTACAGGAAAACAGGAAAGATGAAGTACAAAAGATGAAGTTATTTGTGTACTTGGCAATGAGACTTGCCATGATGAAATTATTGGTTGATTGTTATCACTTTCATCCATTTCAATCAATATTGCAGCATTTTGAGCATAAAAATAAAGAGGAAGAAAACCTCCCGATGGTAATCGCTCAATTGCAGATTGTAACTTTGACACGGAGATATTTTTCGGGTCTTGCAGAGCAGACCAACGTTGCGCACACTCGGCAAGAATGCGAAGTATTGGTAACGAATCTGATACATCCGTTGATGCAAATGAATTTAAATATTCCTCCATACATTCTAACAACATGTATTCATTCTCATGATTGTTTTGAAGTAGATAATCATCAGCAGCAGAGAATGGTAAATAATGTGGAAGAAATAAATGGTTTAAAATTGACTGATTCATTTGCTTTAGATCGAAACAATACTGTCACTAGGTGAAGTAATCGCTGAGAGTCTAGAAGACAAAACTACAGCGAAAGTAGTTGTTACTCACCTATACCACTCTATCACTGATGCACGCAATTTAACAGACTCATATATATATGTACCCATGTCGTTATAACCGGTCAAAAACTATCGGTTAATCACGTTTCATTTTAGTTGTAAACGCGTATAAAAATATTCATTAGTTAGAATATTAAATCCAGAAAATTGTCGCACTATCTGATAAAATATGTCTTAACTTGTTAAAATCCATTTTTCAAAGTAGAATTCGACGTTTTTAGGTCATAGAATGTCAATTTTGTAGAAAAATCAATAAAAAAGTGATGAAAAATTGGTTAACCGTCTAAACTGGTCGTTTTCTAAAGAACCGTGGTTAACGAACGGTTTTCGACCTGTTATAGAGAGATGGGTAGCGTTTGATGAAACAGAACGAAAAAAGCCACATGCACGACTTTTCTCTTCTATAACCAACATACATCAAAAACAGAATGAAAATATTGACTAGTGTAAATAAATGTTTGTGTGATTACTATTTTTTCATCGGTATTCTCAGTATGAGAAAAAATATAAAGAAAGTAAATCTATTCTACAGTATCTCACTCATAAGCAAAATGGTAAGCTGTCAAGAGCGAATAAAACATGCTTTGGATAGCAGATCCAGATGTTACTTATGCACTTTGAGTAAGATCTCGGGCAATGGATTTTATGCGATGATTTTTTATTGCAAGATATCAAATTTAATTCTCATTCGAATATACTATATTCGGTTAGGGGCAAAATTCGCCTAACGATTTCGGAGAGAAATTATTTTTCGACAGTAACACTCTCTAAATCTCTTTTCATTATTGACTTTCACCTCATCATGTTATTCAATAGTCTATTTTGTTCAGCTTCGTTACTAGAGCAATACCATTTATTTTGGGCGCAGAAATACGGTGCCGTAAACGGAAACGAAAATTCACGATATACGACTGTATGAGCTCCGTACTCTTACGAAAATACCGTCCGTATTTCTGCGCCAGATATTACGGCAAACTTTCGGCCGTAAAATAGCAGTAGAATAGTTGAAAACGGCCGTAAACGGACCGTCCCCTCTGACCTGGGAAGAATAAGCAAAGAGTGAGTGTGTGGTTCAGATCAAAGAAAAAAATACAGTTACTATCTAATTTAAAAATAAATAAACAATTCTGAAAAAGTAAAATTTCAGCGGGTAAAAACTTATTAATAAAACTTACAATGGGCAAATCCCCAAACGAAGCGGGCAATTGCCTATTTGCCCTCGCCCTGGATACGTCACTGTTTAGAATTACAAACACAAAAAAAACATGCCGATATTATCTCGAAAAAAATGGCAATAACAATACGAACAAACAAATTGCATGTATTTTTTTGTATTGAATTTATTTACGGAACAAAAAGTTCAGATTTGAACAACATACATATAACAATAACAAATAGAAAGATTATATTCGGAATGAAGAACCAAGCAAAAATATCAATTTGTGGCTATAGTGGAAAAAAATTGAACTATTCAATGAAATTAAGCCATCTTTTACGAATAAAAATTTATTTCGATAAAATTGAAATGCTATTCAAACGTTTAGAAGCTTAGTATTCATTGTAAACTTCAATGTATGTTTCATGATAATAGCATATGTGAAACTAGTCTTGATGTAAAATTTCTTGAAGTAGTTTCATCTCAAAAGCATACTTATTCTTGAAATTATATTTGAAGTTTTTTTCTGATTATTTTGAAGATTAAAAAAACAAGACTAAATAAATAAAGAATGATATATACAGATATCAAGATATCAAGATATACTATGAACTAAAGAGTGAAAGAACGAAAGAATTTAAACTACTTAGTGAATATATCCATATCCAATAAATGTCGTCATAGTTCAAGAACGAATAGATAATTAGTTTGAGTGGAGGTCTAGTTTAACTTTTATTTAAAAGTCTTAATACAACAGATGCCTCCACGATTATTCGTCTTTGTATTTCTATTTTTAGATGAGTGAAATTAATTAATGAAATATTCGTCTTACGAACCATTGTGTAGTATTACTGATGTTTATCTTACAAAACACAAAAGTTGCATTTTGAATGTGAATATTTTAAAGCTCTCATTTAATTTTCTTTTTTATATTTCAGTCATCTTGATATGCGATTTACTAATTACAACTTAGAACAAATTGCAATCTTGTATTTCCAGTTTTACATAAATAAAACTAATGAATGGAACATTATGATCCCGTCTTTTGGCTGATTCAAATTGTATTACTGATGTTATCAAGAATACACGAACAGTGAAAAGTTGTATTTTGCGTATTGATATTCTAAAAAACATTCATTTATTTTTCTTTCGATGTATATGTTGTACTAAATCAAACGAAATTAATGCTCATTTATTCTCAATCTTCAATCATAATTATTTTCCAGGTCTTGCTTATTTCATTTAACCGTCGCGTTATCTCTTCAGCTTTTTCTTTTTTTTGTCGTACTAAGTAAAATAATTCTTATTCTGTTCGATTTAATATTTGCTTTTATTCTTAGATATTTTAAAAGTACTCATGATTAAATAAAATGATGATTTAAATCAAATAGAAGATAATGATGAATATCAAATATCAATGCTTGTTTGGTAAGACATTCATAAAAATAATGCGAATTAGAAATGATTTTGTTTTTATTTAATTAGATATAAAATGACATATTTTGTACAACATCATCATCTAATAATTATATTTGGATTTTTAATATGAACAAACAATGTTAAAATAGAATTATCAAATGAATTTAAAATGACTTATTGTTGACTATTATGGACTGAATATACTTGATGATGCAAATTCAATTAATTTTTGTTTTGATAAAAAATTTTTATTTATATTTTTAGCCATTAAGTATTTCAACGAAAACTTTGTCTTATTTTAACAAAATAATTAATGAGCAAGAGAAAATAACTATGGAAATGATTTCATTAATCTATTATATTTTTTATTTTGATCAATACTTCTGATAATTTTTTTTTTTTATTTCAACGTCATTCATTTAGACAATTATTATGTATGTTGAACATTATTTATGCTTGAATCAGTGATCAATTATCAATTGTTAAATGAATTATTTGGCATATCGATACAGATAAGAAAAAGAATTACAATCAAAATCTCGACAAAAACATTTTAAAAAAAAATCTCGAAAAAAAATATGCATGTATCATCAATAATCTATGCACTCCTAGTCGTTATTAAACATAGGCCATTCGTATTACACATAAATATTTCGCAATTAGCATTAAAATCTTACTTAAATCACAAGCAGAATTTTCAATAATATCCTATCTAGATATGTGCAATAAATGCTGTTGTAGTTCATCTTTTTCTATAGATTTTTAATCATGAGTACTGATGAATCTCTTACTCGATTATTGAACGATAATGTGCATCAAATAAAAACGAGATTTGATTATTTGGTCGTTTATTTTCATCGGTGGTTATTAGGCAGAAATTTTGTTCCAATTAATAAGAACAGGGTAGAAAAAGTTATTTGATTTATTAAAGTTTTACATACTTTCTAAAGCAGGTATGGATTATATGTTTTTCGAACATACAATCCGATGATTCAATATTACTTGAGTACAGAAAGGATGATATCAATGTATCATTTTCATTGCTCAATACAGGAAACGCACTTGATATATCTGTTAAAGCAAGTGCACTAGATAATGAAATAAATTATGCTCTTTTAATTATTTCTAGGGTCAAGGAAGTGAATATAAAACTACAATGCAAAACATTGTCATTGATCAATATGTTCAAGAAAATGGTGGTATTTTTAGGTATGTAAATACTATCTCATATTTTTGCTCTATTTAAAAACTCAACAAATTGTGTTTTAGTTATAAAGATAACGAATTACCTGATCTTCGAGATCGTTTACGCAAAAAGTTTTATAATGTAACATTATTAATCAAACAAAAAATGATACATGCTTCAACTGATACAAGTACGTTTATTTATTATAATGAAAAAGATTAAATTGTAAATTTCTTTTTAGGTCGGCCATCATCAATGTCAGTTACGACCGTTGGTGCTACAGGATATTCAAGTTCTTGTGTTCCTAAACCATCAGCATCCTCATTTGCTAGTGATTTGTAAGTATTACGATTAGAGATATGCAGGACCATGATATTTAGTCCTGGTAAAGTTTTTTGTTGGTTTAGCTTTCGATTCCGATTCTGATAAAGTTTCTTTTTTGATTTCAATCCTAGTCATGGTCCTAGTAATGTGGTTTTTTAATAGTTTAATAGAGTACTCTTTAAAGTTTTATTCAACAAATTTTTGATAAAATATTTTTGTCTAATTATTTTCAATCAATATTAAAAAGAAAAACAAATTAAAATTCAATAAATTCTATTATTTTTTTCTAGTATGGAAAAAGATTATTATCAAATTCTGGGTGTACATCGAAAAGCATCAGATAGTGATATAATATCGGCGTATGTAAAAAACAATTATTAAATAAATGTATTTGATTTTTATTTTCATTGGTTACATAGTTATCAGCAACTTGCTCCGGAATTTCATCCGAGTCGAAATCCAACTAATTTTAATGCTCTTAGTATATTTAATGAACTTGGAGAAGCGTATGATGTATTAATTGATAGTATGTATATATACTTATATTTAATAAATAATCCTCTTTGTTCCTCTTTGTTTTATTAAGGTAACAAACGCGGTATTTATGATAGATATGGTATTCAAGGTTTAAAAAATGGTGTACCAATAGAACCAAACAATGAATTGACTGAACGTTATGTATTTCATGGTGATGGTCATAAAGTTTTTCAAGATTTTTTTCCTGATAATAATCCATATGAGAGTAAATATGAAACGCAAAAATTTTAAATACAATGATTTACTTATAGATTTATATGCAAGTGCATATGCACGT